AAAATGTTAATAGCATAAGATATTTCAGGCCTTGTTCTACTCGCTATAAAATACACACATCCATGAACACTACGGAATGGAATATTTTCCATTTCAGCTCTATTTCTGTTTGTAGGCAATCCTGCAAAGACAAGTTAATCCTTTTGCTATTCGCAATGACACTACTTGTATTTTGTACCACTTTCTAAAATACTTCAGTGTATTCTCTATATATTCTTTCTGGTGGATTACTAAATGATCATTACTCTTCTCAATTCCTATACCTAAACATTTCCTTGTTTCTCCCAAAATCTTTAATTCAAAATCTTAATTCAACTCTTTTAAAATTAGATCCATGTTTTCTTGACTTTTTTCAAATATAACGGTATCATCAACATATAACAATAGCAACACATCTTCTGTAAATATTCCACTGCATCAGTCTAATTTTTCAAGTTTTTAAGTCATACAATACACTAGTTACTTCAGAGTACCGCTCACTTCCTTGTTGATGTAATCCATATATTTACTCTTTTTAATTTACACACTTTTGATGGCTCTTCTACAAAACCTTCAGGTTGTGCCAATTTTTTCATTCAAGTTTGCATATAAATATGCACACTTCATATCAACTTAACAGTGCACCAAGGTCATTTAGCCTACAAAAATTTTCTTATTAGGGAAAAATTTACCACTGGACTATACACTTCACAATAATCAATAGTCAGTTGTTGCTTAACTTCCTGCGCGACAAGCCTAGCGTTATATCTGCTAGTGATGATTGTATGATTATGAAAGAGAAAAACCCTGAAAATTTTATGTGCAAAAACTCCATATCAGTCTATATATATGCTTCATATTTAATAAAAAATTTTAAACTAAGATTCATGATTAAATTACCTATTGATGCAGTATATCACACTTCATATATAGTAACTAATTTTTTTTTAAAAAAAGCTTAGCTCTAAAGAATAGCGATATTGGATTTTAATATCACGTGAATTTGAATTGCGTAAATGGATTTTAAAAACGTGTGATCACAAATTGCAATATTGATTTTAAAAATATGTATATGCACATTGATATATTGCATTTTTAAATAGCGTAAATGCGAATAGCGACGTACGATTTTTAAATTGTGTATGGGAATCAAAACGTGTAACTTATAAATAGGGTAAAAACGAAAATCGTTGTTTGATGTGTGGTGATGGGTTCGCCGCTCATCGTAAAATCAAGTTTATTTCATATTGTTATCTGTTTGTCTTTAATCAATTGTGTTTTTACTTATTTTTTAAGTGAACTGAAATAAGAGTTATGACGTCCTATTCTTAGAATTGTATAAATACCAGCACGCACATGGCAGCCTGTCAGTATTTTCTCCCATAACCTGCCGTGATGATGTTTTTGTAATTCAAAACAAATTGTATATAAATGTAAATATGTTCGATAAAATATTAGTATCTCGAAGGAGCTATCTTCGCTTACTTCAGATGTTAATATGGTACGAATATGAATCGCGATATTAGGGGATTCTAGCGCAGTTCCAAACACCCAGAAAGGCGAAAATCTGTCCAACAAAGGGATCAAAACGGTGGATCTCCGCCAATTGGCGGAAGAATCATATATACGCAAACGTCTCATCAACGAGATTTAGCAAAGTTTCAAAATTAAAATAGTTTGCGGAGCTCCAGGAAAATTTTGCCGGATTATAAATTTGTGTTGTTGCTGTAGTAGTTCATTTACGTCGCACTAGAGCTGCACAATGGGCTATTGGCGACGGTGTGGGAAACATCTCGGAGGATGATCCGAAGACATGCCGTTACAATTTTGATCCTCTGCGGAGGGGATGCCCCCCCCCCGCTTCGGTAGCCCGACGACCTGCACGCGAAGTTGAGCACTTTACGGCCGAACAGTTTAACGAGGACCCAATACTGCATACCCTCGGTCCCTACGCAGACTGATTCAAGTGGTCAACCAATCGCATACAGTGATACTTGACTTTGGTGATCTGCTGGGAACTGAGTCTTAACGATCAGTCCACTGCGGAACTTATAAATTTGTGATTCACTGAAGTCGCTTACCAATAGACTTGAGATTTCACGAAATTCGGGGGAAAATCACATGCCTCTTCCTAATTTTTAGACCCTGAAGGATGATACGAAAAACTCGGAATTCCGAGGTACACGCAGAATACAATCACCCCTGAGTTACAAATAGTGAGAAAGTCTCATAATTTTGATTCATTCGTTTTTAGACAGTACATCCATCTACTTTTGTAATGACCACACTTTTTTTCTTCATCTTTTCAATTTCCGCTTTCAAAGCATTCTTTCATTCTTCACAATTTCTTGACAACTGCTTCTTTGTAGCTTTTTGGAACATTGCACTCAATTAAATTTGCTTTATCTTCTTGCACCATGCCAACTTCATTTCTGGTTACTTTACCAGAATATTCATTCCTACCAACTAAAGCAAAGTATATCTTTTTCAAATTCTATATTCCATGACTACCACAATATTTCTGAATGTCATTTGATGACCTAAATCAGTTTTTAGACCCTTCTTTGTAATAAGTATCATTTCTAGATCCATCTCATCGATTAGTTCTCAACCAGTTTAAATCTGCTAACCTCTTGATGCTTTCATGATTACAACTTGAGTCACACTCTGGCCCATGAATAATATCTTCATCGTCTGAATATCCTCTTTCATTCCAATAATAATGGAAAACATCTTCTCACCAATAGATTGCTGTATCAACAGAAATAATCTCAAATTATACAGAGATGCCAACTGCTCCGGACACGACAAAATAATTATAATAACGGTAAATAACTACAAAGCAAATATTTGACTATTTTTGCTTGCTTTTTAAAAGCTATAGCATGATATAAGTACTATAAAGTGGTTTATTATATAAGCTTATGAATTATTCAGAAATAGTGGTGGATTAAAATCTACTAAATTGAATTTATTAAACCAAGAATCACAATTGATAAATTACCACTTTAAAATATATATTTGCTCTACGGAGCAAGTTGGCATCTCTGATAATTGCATGGCAAAATAAACAATTTTGTAAGAAATCAGGTAGAACTGTTTTTTGTTTTGTTTTTTCAATTTGCATATATAAATATATTTTAAAAAATATCGTCATAAAATTTAAATTTTTTCAAGTTTTTAGTAGATTTTATTTTTCTGGAGTTTCCTCAGCTAATTTTAAATTACTTGAGTTTACCAGATTTTCCCTGAGGTGTATCACACCTGTTTTTCTGAGGTAGAAAATAAAATTTTTATCATCTTAAAATCTCAATAGATTAAAGGTACAAAGCTGGGGGAAAAAAAAGCAAGAACTTTTTTAAAAGATCAGACAATGATATGAAGTCAAGATGCACCTTCCCCAAAGAGATAAGCTCTGACAATTAATGGTTAAAAGAAAAAATATATATACTTAAAAATCAATTCATCAATTAAGGTGGAAATGTTACTGCGATGAAAAATAATTTTAATTGAATAAACAGAGTTGCTAAAGTACTACGAGTTATATTTAGAATTGAAAAAAGAAGAAATTGAGTTTTAAAGAAAAGATTTGTTAAATTTGGAAAGTTAATGCAACATACATACCATGACAAGTGAATTATACTTGAGGGCTCAAAACTAACTTATGATATATTTAACTGGAATGATGCGTAGATTTACATAAATTTCGAACCTTTACAAAACAGTAAAAACCAGATTATCCAACAACTCAGATATTTGACATTCCTTCTGACTTAATTTAAATCATATCTAATTCAGACCTAATTTGAAAAAAAACTTTTTTTAAACTTTAACATTTTGGCAATTGACGAATTCAAAAGTGTCAAGTGCTGTTACCTATCAAAATGCAGGGTTTTGTTAACTTCGTAGCTTACAGTTTATCCTTTCTGTAGTAGCAGTGATTTGTCACGGGGAAGGGCAGCAGAGCAATTACAATGTACATCATAAGTAAGAAATTAGCACATATTTTTCTATAATGCTAGGTAATTAGCATACATTTGTAATTCTTAATCCTAGTAATTCTTAATAATTAATATTAAACATTTAGCTGTTGGCCATCAACATGTAAATTCGAACACTGGACAAATATGGCTGGGAGTTAGTTTCTCGCTTGTTTCCTCTTCTCTGCTATTTCAACCTGCTGAATGGCAGCCATATATTGTGCAGCAATCAGCAGTTGCGACCAGATGATCTATTGAAAGATGAACCAAACTCCGAGTAGTCAATATGCAGTGCTGTTTGGTGGATTTGGAGCCGTGAGTTCAGAGAGTCTAAAATCAACATCAAATGCCTTTCAAAAGCTGTAATCCAAAATAATGCAGAGAATTATTAAGTGTTTATAGTGAAAAGTGTTATCTGATAAGTGTTTATAGTGACAGTAAATTGGTATTGAACAAGCCATAATAATTGTTGAGTTGCAATGCCGTACAAGTTAAATTTTAGATATTTATTTATAAGATAGAAACAAACAAAGTTGTATAACACATAAACAGAACCAGTGATTTCCTACTTCTAAAGTAAAAGCAAAAAGTAAATTTCAATGCAGAAGTTAATAGAAACACACAATTCTTCATATAGCAATGTCATTCTTTTGTTGCCTCATAGACAAACGGATGTAATAAGTCCTTTATAATTAAGAGTTATCTATTCTGAATATTTTTTGTTTGTACAGTTTCAAAATACAATAAATAGCACTGACAACTTTTTGAACATACTCCTAAACCAGTAGTTAATGGTTAATCAGACTTCTACTGTATGGTGTGATTTAGCTTTTCAAATGTAGCAGGCATTCAAAAATACTATATTCAGTCAATTGAAGCTTCATCTAAAGACAAAAATTAAATAATCATATTATGAATGTAGTTGTATCAAATATTTATTTAAATAAAATTGATATATATTGTTCCAACAATAAACTCATCGAGGAGTCAAGGTACTATAGTATCACTTTTATATGTAAATTGTTGCCTAATTAATCACACTTTTTTGATATTTATATCAATAAAATTTAATGACAAGACTACAGTTTTTCAGTATCAAAAGATTACATGTGTTATAGAATTTACAGTGTTGTACCAATGAATTACTCTGTACAAAAAGCGATAAGTTACATAAAAAATGGTATTATTCCTTCATTTCTCCATCTTCTTCTTCTTCATCCACACCACGAATGTACAAAATGTTATTGCATCGAATAAGAACTTCACCCAGATTTCCTTTATTTGCCCCATCAATGAATTCCTCAGTATTAGCAAGCTGCAAAAAAGATATTTTCTTTTATATTAAGAGTAAAAACTGCAATCATTTTAGGTATCTATACATATTGTTAAATATTACCTGTAAATTCATATAGCCATCAACTGACACAAGGTAACCTTTATATTCCATTCCCCATTTGAGCTTTACAAAAACTGGTTTTCCAGTAAGACTATTTAAAAAAGGCTTTGGGTTAATTGGTAAATTCTAGAAAAAAAATTAAAAAGATACATGAGCAAAATTTAAAGATCAAGACATTAGAAAATGTTTTTCAACTCATGCTTTCATTTCTACGTTTTCAGCTTATTAATAGACATACATGGGAACATTACTTTTAAAATTTAACAAGTAATAATGAAAGTACTTCAAAAGTAGCAATATAAAAGTTCTGATTTTGAAAGGTAATGAGGAAAAAGTACAAATGCAAAAAAAAAAAAAAAAAAAATTATGAATTTTAAAGCCCATTTTGAGGGCATCAAAAATTCTGAGTAACCTTAAATTTTATTAAAACTTATAAGAGCAAATTATAAAATTTTTAATTTAAGATGCATTAGGTAAATGCTACTGCTTGAAATTTTATTTTAAGTTACCAAAATTATTAAAATTAAATCAAATAATATAAAATAATTTGCCAATTAACATTTTTATTTATTTTGAAAAAGAGAAGAAAATAAATAAAAATTTCATATCTACAAGAAGGGGGGAAAAAAAGAGTTGGTTAATTTTAATATTATACTAAATCAAATTTTGTTTTTACTTTCAGAAACTATATTTTTGCAATAAATTACCTTGTTAAACAAAATTTATAAAGATTATAGCTTCTTGAAAAAAAACTAATGAATTGTACTTATACGAGGGTTGTAAATTAAATAGTGGCAACTTAACCTTGAAACTCACAGAAGGGTGGGCATGCGCAAATAGGATATGGGAACAATGAGGTGGCGCTGTTGTCGATGTGTAGAGTGCAAAAAACAGTCGTCCCGCTTAGAAGGGTAGTTGTTGCGTTAAAGTGAGGAGTTTTGTTTCCATTGCTCTAAAGCATTTTTTCAAAAGGCTTAATGACGAAAAAGACGAGATACTTGAACCCATCGTGCTACTGTCCAATACGGTAAAGCACTTACCCCACAGGCTTCCACTAATCCTCTGTAGCATTCTGTTGCATTTTTACCACAGGCAACCTCGATTTTAAGCGACTACAGCTGATCACTGTTTGAAAACATGCTTTAGAGCGATAGAAACTAAGCTCCCCACTTTAATGCCACACAACAACTACCCTTCTAAGCAGATCGACTGTATTTTGCACTCTACACATCGACAACAACGCCACCTCACCGTTCCCATATCCTATTTGAGCATGCCCACCCTTCTGTGAGTTTCAAGGTTAAGTTGCCACTATTTAATTTACAACCCTCGTATAAAGATATATCTTTGAAATCTAATAAATTAAAAATTATCTATATCTTTTTGAACAATAAAAAATCCTAATTTAAATTAATAACACATCCGTCCATAAGCTTTTAAATCTGCAAGCAACTCAAAATGTGCATTTTAAAAATTGGACAAAGCTCAAAATGCATGTTTACAAAAATGGACACAGCTCAAAATGCACGTCTATAAAATGGACAAAGCTCGAAATACATGTTTATAAAAATAGACAGAGATATTAAATATATTTATTATTTTTCAAGATTTCATTTAATAATGGTCGAAAAATCAAATTTTAAATATCTGAATTTTAGGAAATTCAATTTTTCATGAACTATTCAACTGATTTTACTCAAATTTTGTATTTTGTCATGTTGAATTATATTCTTTAAAATGATGCAAAAAATTGTATACCTTATAATTCAAATTTTTATTTATCATTATTAAGTAAAATAATAAATATTTACTAAAAGTTATTTTTTTCATGGAATTATTTTTGGATAAACAAATTTTATAATTATGTGCAAAGATTTTTCCATTCGTTTAAAAATTTCGTGAGATAAAGTGAAATACGCAAAAAGTGAAATTAACATTAAATTTTCGCTATTATGATGGTTCAATTAAGCCAATCAGAAGCCGGTATTTTTGCAAACATATCACATTTTGCGATACGCAAAAATACAGGCTTTTGATTGGTCAAATTTGTACACCATAATTACGAAAATTTTGCTGAACTCCGCCCTAGAAAGCCATGGATTTACGAAATATAAATTTTTTTTTGTGTTCATATGATAGAGTAATGAAGAAGCTAACAAAAAACTTATGGATTTTACACAGTACGGATATTTTGTTTTTAAAAAAATTTCATTAAAGAAGGAAATGTAAAATAAACTTTCTATTCGATTTGGGTCCTCCTTCTAATGTGGGGGCCCGGGGCAACCGCCCTTTATGCTCCTGCCTTAGTCAGGCTCTGGTGATAGGGAAATTTTAGAAAGAGATATCGCTATGCTCTACTACATAAATATAATGAAGAAAAAAGAATGATTTTAATTAAAATACTAAAACAGCTTAAATACAGCTATTTTTTTTAATCAGCATAAAAAAAGCAATACAGTTAAGCTGTACTAATTTTTTTAGAGATCCAGAAAACCGGGCAATTCAGACACCTGGGATAGTGATGTTACCCACATTCTGGATAATAGATACTCTACTGTATTAAGAATGCATTCCAATGCTGTTGCTTCAAGTTTAATTATTTAATTTGATTGTTCTTCTTGTCCTAATTCTCCTATCAAACTATTGTACATTTTTGAAAATGAAGTTCTAGCTATCCTACGTTTTCCTAATAAATCATCCATATTTAAGGAGGTATAAAATCTTTTTTCTAATAAAAATAAACGCTTTAGAATTAATTTTCACTCATCAAACTGAATTGACTATCTAAAATACAGGTGCAGGTCACCATAATGTTGAGTATACAAAGAAATCACCCATTTCTTTTATTCCAACTTACTTTATTTTACAAATTGAGAAAAATTAAACTTCTATAAGTATAAAACTATAAAATCTCTACCTCTACATCTAAACAGGTACAATATAATACAGTATTTGCCACATGCTTATGCTAACCTGCTCTTCTTTTATTCATTTTTACTATCAAAACACAACATATAGAAATTTCAGTGGAGCATGAAGATGAAATAAAAGGTAATATTTCAACCATTTTAGGCAACAAGGGCTTGTATCGAGAGTGTTTAAATTTGCTGTTACAACTTGCTGTTGTTATCAAAGCATTTAATAACTTACTAACAGATGGTGGCACACTTGCTCAAACAGATATGGCAAGAGATATAGCTTGATCTTTTAGTAAGTCCAGATCTGTTATCGTATCAAGACTGTAAAATGGCCCCATTTGAACAGGCATTGTCACCTTATCATTTTCTTACACGTATGACATATCCTGTCTATCAAGGAAAAAGATTCGACAAAGGCAAGAGAAACTTTAGCTGAACAATTTTAAGAAAAGCTGATTAATTTTGATGTGTACTTAAAAATGTTTCAAATTAAGCATACAGGTCACTACCACGCCTCTATGCTTTCACAAAATATAATAGAGTTCTTTAACACCAAAATATGGTAGATGCAAGGCAGAGAAAATGAAAATTAAAGTGCTGATTTTTGTAAATTTTTGGAAAATTTGCATTCACTTCAGCCTCTATTGAAAGCATCTTTTTCCCCTTTAGGATAGCTTTGGTCAAAGTTTTAAAAAAAATTTGGTTGCGAAAAAATTGGTAAAAGTTAACAGACGTTGGAAGTTAAAAGATGTTGTCAATTTCGATTAGTAAAAATTAACATCTGTAATACTTACAATACATAAAATAATGCAGAATTGATAGAAAATTTCCTATTTACGTTGAAATGGTGTGCATTAATTTAAATATATTTAAAATTGTATGTAACAAGAATTACAGGTCTGAGAAAATAGTATTTAAAATATGGTTTTATAAATAAATAATTATCCCAGTTCATTGAATTGTGATTCAAAAAGTATTGTACCTTGTTCAGGGCAAAACATGGTTTTGGAGCATCTTTGGAGAAACAAAAAAGCAATTTTGGAGCAGCAAAACAAAGATTTGGAGCATATTTAATAAATAGAATTAAAACAAGAATTTAATAACAAGAATTTTTATTTCTGTTCATTAATAACATATCTTATTTTTTACACTTTTTTGAAGGTCCCTGCATTAACAAATTAAGTTTCTTTTGGTACCTTCCAATGCTGTTAAATATTCTACTATCCTCGACTTAGCCTCAGATAAGAGGATCTGTCCGCTTTCTATAATCGACATGTCTTTATTATTCTACCCATTTTTAATATTTTTTCAGCTGCAGCTAAGAGATCCTGAGAAGCCTTAAATTTTTTTTACAAATCAATTTCAGCAGAGTTTTCAATCTGCTTTCCACATTTTCAGTGTTTTTCGCTTTTTGCTTTCTTTCTTCTCAACCTCTAATTGAGCAGAATAATTTTTAAATGTTGCACGAGCCACTTTAATCATATCTTTGTCAACTTTAAAGTTATTTAAACCCCTATTTTGTTGATATGTGACACAACTTCTCTCAAACCATTCACACAATGTAAATTTAAACTTGCCTAATTGTCAAGTAGCTTTTTGTTCACACTTAAACCTCTTTCAATATCGGGATTCCCATGTGGTACGCACAAAAGAGCTACGTTATAAGAGGATATTTGATATTTCCGAAAATTATCTTTCTTCAAAAAATAGTTTTTCCAAAACACATCAATTGGTGCAAACACATCAATTGGTGCATATTCATTTGAGTCAGAAGAATAACTTTCTGGTTCTCCATGTAACCTTGTCCCTTCATCTAGTAACAAAGATGCCTCTCCAGGTTTCATAATGGATAGGATAACTGTTGCTTCTTACTTACATCTTATTGACTTAATAGAAGTTTCTTCTATTCTTATTACAGGATGCAACACTTTAAGATGGTACAGTAATCTATTTTTAAGAAGCAATGCTTTTATTAAATTTTTTGCGCATGCCAAGTAATAAGACCTGGGACCTAAATACATAATTTTTTTTCTGAAAAAGATAAGGATGTCATCGCCTTTGTGGTATCTAAGTCCAACATCTATTAAATTTGAATTTTGACAAATTTCTGCGTTTCTACATCCAATGATTTTAAGTCCTTTCCTGACAAACATGAAAAGCAGAACTCTTTAAAAAATGCCCTAACAATGCTTTAACTAGGAACACCATTTCATCATACAGCAAGTGAATCAATGGTGTTTCAGTTTGGAAAAGACTTAAAAATTTATTATATTGCCGAATTATTTCTTTAAAAAAAAAGAGCTTTTGGCAAAAGAAATTTAAATAAATTCAATATTGAGTGGCTCATACAATTTTTTAAATTAATAATTACTTTATTTAATTCCGTAAAAGGTAATTCAGAACTCTAATTAATTTAACTATTATTTAAGGTTATCGAGTGTAATTTTCTTAAAATTTAAATAAACGTTATTTGTAATAGTATATTCAACAAAACATTAACAAGATTAATATTGATCATACCAAACTTATAAAAATATGTAAAGAATGAAGCAAATTAAGAAAACTTAAATAAATTTATATTACAAATGTAAATTAGTGAATGGCCTCTAATAAATTTTTATTAAAATTGGTTACTTATAAAGTATTTTACTAATGAAACGATTAAAAAAAATTAAATAATTTTTAAATGCAAATGCAATGAGTATTGAAGCTAAAAAAATTTTTGTCAGAAGTAAATTATTATATTGTCTCTACACTCATTTTATTTAACAAATCTGTGATAATTAAAAAAATTTTACATCAATTGTTTTAAATAAAATCATTAAAAGATGAATTGAAGTATTTTTGAATGAAAAATCTTAAAAACATAAGATTTTTTGCTGCATTTAAAATATTGAAACTCCCTCTCTTCATACTTATTTAAAATCTTGCCTCTAAATATTATTAAGTTATTTCCTAAAACAAAATAAGAGCACAGAAAATTTTGAAGGTAATAATACAATAAAATGCAATAAGTAAAAAAAAAAATATTAGTAAAAAAAGTTAAATAATTGTTTAAAAACAATATGCAATTAGTGGATGGTCCCTCAGATAAAAATTTACGTTATGAAACTCAATTAATTCTAAATCTTTATTAAATAAAATGAATAAAAGGGAGATGGAAAGTTTGAGGTTATGAAGTTTTGTGATTCTTGACTGTTCTGAGGATCAACATGAAAATATGTACTTAGTGGGTGGTCCCCTAGTTAATTCAAAGATCATGGTACTAATCTATAAATAGAATAGCGCAAGAAGGCCATTAGCTTGCCATTGACGAAGACGATGGAACTTCAATAACGATGAAGAAGAGAAAACAAGAGAAAAAAAAAATTTCTAATGCTATTTAAATTTGGCAATGTTTGTTGGTCCCCGAAAATTTTTGGCGCAGATGTGGCGCAAATTTGACATAAAATGCCGTTTCTGCGCAGTAATGCGCAAATATACCGATCTGGCGCAAAATGCGCAGCACTTGAAGCCCTGCTTGTTATAACATCAGTTTCAATTGTATTGTAAATTAGTGCCTCAAATTTTTTACATTATTTGCAATTTCAATTAAAATTTTCGAGGTGCAGTAAAATATAAAAGTAACAGAAATATAAATACTTCTAGGTATGGAGTTTGCATTTTATTCTATTATAAATTTAATATCCTAGAGCTGATTTGTTAATGATTAAATGCAATTATGAAAAATCCCACATTGGTTTTTCCAGGTGGGTTTTCTAGGGTTGGGTAAAATTATGACAAACCTATTTTATTGACACCAATTATGTCACATGCCAAAATTACAACTCTGCTAAATTCAAACTTCACTTTCATTCTGGCCATTTTCTAACATCATCTCAAAACATATATTTTAAAAATAAAAAATATGGCAGATCTAAAAAAAAAAATTTCCCCAAGTTAACATTTTTATTACCACTCTGACGTAATTTTCTTAAGAAAATAAAAATCTACTTATACAAAACTATTATTTCTCAATACCAAACATGCATTTCATAAAAAAGATAGAAAAATAACAGGGTGGCCACTCAAATCAGATTTCAAATTTCCCTGATTTTTCCAGGTTTTCCAGATAAAAATCTAAAAATTTCCAGGTTTTTGTTTCTTTTTTCTTATAAAGTATAGGATGTGTACAAGAAAAGTGTCTATATTATAAATATTTTATTTAAAATGCCATTTTTTGTAACATATCTTGAAAAAAAAATTTTTTTTGACAATTTGGCAAGATTTTGTATTTATTTTTTAATGTTTTGGTACAAAATTTTGAATCAAAAACCATATATTGGCCAACAAAAGAGTAAAATTAAATATTAATATATAGTTGGTTCTTTATAAAATCTATTATTATTCAATTATAACCAACTAATTTTTGGAAAATTTTATAAAGTTAAAAATACAAAAACATTTTGCCAAAACAGAAAAAAAAATTACTTCCAAAGCATGGGAACAAACTTGAGCCATAAATGAATTCAGTCCAAGGACAGAATTTAAAAACAGAAGCTAACATCCTAATCCCTTTTTCCACCTCCACCAGAATCTTTACTAAATTGCACAGTCCCACAGCGATCAAAGATTTCAACATTCGTTTAGCAACCGTGGGAGCATTTTATGTTACATTCTAGTTTAACAGAGCTGTAATGGAGCAAATTTTGATGAAAGCAAAGTATCGCTAAGTTGATGATATTTCAACTGTTTGGTGATACATTTGTTTAAAAAAAGTGGGTATAATGGATGAAATAATTTAAATTAAGAAAATTAGTAAAAAATTTAAATCAGCGAAATTAAAAAAATTATCAAAGGAAAAATTTCCAGCTTTTCTTCAAAATTCCCTGATTTTTCCAGGCTTTTATCCAAATTTCCCTGATATTTCCAGGTTTTTTCCAGTATAAAAAAAATTCCCTGATAATTCCAGGTTTTCAAGGTTTTCCAGGTGGGTGGCCACCCTGAATAAATACATAGAATCCAAACACGCAACTTTCTTCTTAAGTTACTCATTTAAAAAATGTGTACCTTACTTCTGTTGCTCTTAGATTTATGTCAATCTTTTATTAAATTTATCAATGTTTTAGATGCATAGCAATAATAAGTACATTTTAATTATAAAATTAACACCACAGCCATACTTAATCTTTTCACAAACAACAGAGATACTTCTTTTATAATGCAGCGAAGACTACTACTTTCTGAGCACTACTAAAATTAAAACGCACATTTCTTATCTGCACAAACACAAGTTCAGTCAAAACACCACTAACGCAATTATTTTAGTTTATTGAAGCAAAAAATTAAAATAGAGACATGGAGAAACAAATTAGCTCCCAAAAACACTAATATAAAATATAGAGCTCATACAGTATCATAAATGCAACATATGAAAACAATTACTATCTTGAGTAGATGTAACATAAAATAATACCATTTCTATTTAATTGCAATACTACTAGGAGTTCCAAGTTCATCCAAATTTTCCAATGATAAACACAATTTTTTTCAAAGAAAAAAAAGATCTTCACAATTTAATAAAGAACCTGAAAATTCAAAAAGAATCATTATAAAATTTTTATTTTTATTTTAATGAGTTTTAAGATAAATTAGTGAAAATGCTAAAAATAAAAACATACAACTGACGAAAATGGCATATATATGGGCTGTTAGTAAAGATTCCAACATAACAGAGATCTTTTTACTACAAATTAATTTTAATTTAAGACAAATTCTCGATAGTTTTCTCAGAAAGCCTTACATCCATTTTACCTATCCAAAAGCATGTGGAATTTTTCTTCAGCAATATATTTATAAGCAGGGATTTAGGGTTAGAGCTAGAGCCACATTTTCCCTGGAGTAAGGACCAAAGCTGGAGCTCTAAATTTTCAAAGGCTCCAGGAATTTCATTGTATCCTACAGATATTCAGGAGGCAAACAGCTTTGTAACAACATTGCCTGTTAGCCAAGTTGCAGAGGAAAACTATTCTCAGTATTAAAATAAATTTATAATAATTTATATTAAGATGAAATATGAAGGAGAATTTATATAATTCAATTCTTTTCTCAAGATTGAACAAATAGCATAATATTGTGAATAAAATTTAAATTTTCTCTGTGAGATTTTCTATTTATTAATTTTTTTTGCTTCTCTTTATAATAAAAATTTCAATTAAAATCTGAAACTTAGAAGCACACATAAATTAAAACTGTCAGAGCCATAGTGGAGCTCAAGATTAACTAATTAACTGGGAGCGAAGCTGGAGCATGAATAATTATTTGGTCTTTGGTTCCTGATTATTAAACATTTGGTCAAAATCTTAGTCCTCAAAGTTCCTTTTTTAGCTAGGAAGGAAAAATCACTTGAGACCCGGTATGGTGAACAAGCAGTTAAAATTATAATGCACAAATTTTTGCCATTGTAACTGCTTTGGTTCGAAATTAAAAAAAAAGCTAGAAAATCTGGTTGGTAGATGAACTTGTGTAATACTGGACATTCCTGCCGAAAACAGGAGAGTTGGCAAGTATGGTAAAATGAATCCAATCATGAATCCAATGATAGCTTTGAGTCTCATCTTGAAGTATATAAGAAATATTTCACAGTATTTTGATCTATTTCATTCTGATATAAGAGATACTTCTTATGAGGCATACAGTTTAATTATTATTAAAATTTCTTTTTGACAAAACATGTTTTATATTCTCAGAAGTACTTGAATCTTCTAAAAGTTAATTGAATGCCACACAATACTTGTGTTTCCTAAATAAAATAAAAACTCCTTCAAAATACCAAATTAATATTGTTAAAATTTTAGAAAACTGTGATGCTTGAAAAAATGATGTGAGTGGAATTGAAATGAAATTCTGTCAATCTGAAAGTAAAGAAATCTAAGTTAACATACACTCCAGCATGTTGCCCTTTGTGAGGGCTACATCAATAAGTGTCACGGTTTGTCAAAATGAAGCCTCCAAAAAAAAAATTCTAAATTTACTGTACTGGGACAATGGATAAAAGCAAATTTACATTTTTGTCATTTAAACAAAAAGTTCCAGACAATTGAAGATAAATTAACTTGATAATTCAGTTTTAATTATTTAATTCAACTAAATTAACTTGATATATATCTATCAAAATGCATTCATTTGTTTCAAATATCTAGACAGTTTGTAGGGATTTGAACTATAATTAGTATCAATTTCCTTCCTTTACGAAAGAATAAATTTTTTTAAGAAACATTATTATTTGTGTAGTTTGAAAAATTATTGATTTTTTTAATCAAACTGTACAATATAATTCATAAATTATTTTTATAGATCATTTTAAAACATAAAAACTGCTTTTTAAAGTTTTAATCATAGCTATGTAACTAATTTATGTTCAATTTTTATGATTGCAGTAAAATTGAATTTAGTTTCAGAAATTCTTTTTGAGTTGTACATTTTGAAAGCAGAAATTGAGATTCACAATTTCCTTCATTATATATATGAAGAAAGGAATTTTGTAGGTAAAAAACATTGAAAAATCTATATGATCTATAAATCATTTATTTATACATTTCTTTTAGTATTTAATTTACTACTTGAATTTACTCCTAATAGTTATTAATCAGCCTTCCTTTATATTATTCTTCATTCTCTAATTGATTTCTATTATTATTCCAAATTAAAGGTTAAAACTAAAAATGGAATTATTTTTTTATATTAATTAATCCTATAAACATTATTACATAACATACATTTTGAAAATGTTATGTAACTTAATCAGACACGTGATTTATAAAAGAAGAAATTATCTGAAATTTTTTATTCTCAATGCAAAGTTTTTTTTCAGTACTTAATTCTTTCCTTTTGACATGAAAAAAGAAGTGAACAAAGCACTTTATTTGTGGTTCCTGCAAAAAAGATCATTAGGCCAACCAATATCTGGCCACTTATGCGAAAAGGCTTTATTTTTCATGAGAAATTTGGAGGAAAAGGTACTTTTCAGGCTAGTTTGGGATGGTTAAGGAACTTTAAACATTGGCATGGAATATGCGAGTTAAAAATTCATGGCAAAAAACTTTCCTCGTCTAATGAAGCCGCTTCAAGTTTTGTAAAAGAATTAGAAAGCATTATTGAAACTGAAGGATATGAAGAAGAATTTACTTAAAATGCAGATGAAAGTGGACTGAATTGGAAATCTCTACCACAAACTTTGGCTTCAGGAGATGAAAAACGTGTTTCCAGGAACAAGATAAATAAAGAGTCACAATTAACGTATGCGAAAGATGCAACTGTAAATCATTGAATGCCTTTAATGATGATTGGAAAATCCAAAAATCCAAGAGCCTTCAAAAATGTGAAAACACTGCCTGTCATTTATACATCTCAAAACAAAGCGTGGATGAACACCAAAATTTTTATTGAGTGGTAACATAACACTTTCATTCCAAACGTGAAGAAACATCAAAAGAATTTGGGAAAAACAGGAAAAGTATTACTCTTCTTAGACAATGCTCCGTCGCATCCAAATCATGATTTCTTAGATCGGGAGAATGGAATGTTTTGTGTTGTTTTCTTGCCACCTAATGTGACACCTTTAATTCAGCGGATGGATCAAAGTGTCATTGAAACCCAAAAATGTCTTTATAGAAAGCAACTTTTAAGGAAGATTTTATTATCGGATGAACAAAACGAGGGGGATTTTCAAAACTCAATCAATGCTATTGATTTAAAAGAATACTGCATGATGATAGTGGATGCCAGGAAAAAAATCGACGATTAGAAAATCTTGAAATAAAATTCTTGACAGAAAAAAAAACGAAACTGAAGTTTCTGAACCAGTAGATCTTCTGGATGAAAAGATGCCAGGTTATATAGCAGAAAAAATAGAACACTGGTATCGAGACATTGAAAACAACCCAGGATATCAAATTTTAAATGATGATGAAATTGTTGCTGAAATTTTGAATGAAAATCAGAACTCCACAGATGAAGAGGAAGAAGTAGGTGATCGAGTTCAAGATAGTGGACAATCTCATATAGAAGCATGCAATTCATTAGACATTGCAATGAAGTGGCTAGAACGTCAAAATGATGGTGATCCAGTTCAGTTGATTTATTTTAAAAAAAATAAGGGATATGGCTGCTCAAAAAGAAAAAAGCATTTTTTTTTAAACAAAAATTTTTACTGGATTTCTTTTGCAATAGAAAATAAAGAAAAATTGAGTAAAATCAGTAATTGACAAAAAAAATTATAAAAAGCTGAAATATGATTTAAAAAAATATAAAATGAAAAAAATGCTTAAAAAAAATAAATTTAAAAATCGAAAAAAAAAAAGTTTTAAACATGCCAGAGCTATTTTAGATAGTACTGCCAGTCCTAAGCCTGGAAAAGTATGAAGGAAAGTTAGTGTAACTTTCGAATTATCCGAAATTTTCATTATCCGAACCACGTTTGGTCCTGAGTTGTACGGATAATCGTCGCTCTACTGTACTTAAATTTCATAGGTTTTGAAAAGGCTTTCAACAGTTTACACAGAAAAACACTCTGGAAGCTGTTGAAGTTCTATGGAATTCCGGAATGTTTTGTTAACATTATTTGAAATCTACATAAAAAATACAATGTACGAGTCATCCATGCCGGCCAACGATCAGAATCCTTCAAGGTTGATTCTGGTGTTAGACAGGGTTGTATACTTTCTCCAACTATCTTTTTAATTGCTATTGAATGGATTCATGAGAGAGTATCAGAGAATAAAAGGGTGCACAAACATTTTAAAAGTAGAGGCAAAGAAAATGGGACTTATTATCAACCAAAATGAAATCAAAATTTTGGAAATGAATCCTAAACAATTAAATGCCATATTTTTAGAAAATAATAAACTAGAGGAGATAAGCAATTTTACATATCTTGGAAGCATATAATTTTCCATTTATTAAACTGTAAATAAGCTTTATAAAAAACAATTTTCAGTCAAAATTTGCAATTCAAATAAGGAATACAAAACTGTTATTTGGAATTATTTTTACCAACACATTACTAAGCAAACAGTTTCGCAACAAACATTTAAATAATTTTATAGTAACAAAAAGTTGAATAAGAATTTTTTTTTAAAAATATAGATTATGTTGACTAGATTTGAGCTTTATTCTAACAGACTCTAGAAATAAATCAGTGGGATCTTTTAATTCAATAATTAAAATTTTCAATGTCACAATTTGTTTGTCACTAAAAAAATATAAATAACTTAGTAAACTAAAACTTCCCCAAGAAATAGTTATATTGTAACAAAAAAAAGGGGGATAGTTGCCAAACATTTAACTTTCATGTTAGAAACAAGTTTTGCAATCGCATTAAGGACTCAGAAATCAAAATTAAAATATTTCTGGAAAAAAAAAACTGATTTTTCATCAAAAACCTGATAGAACCCAGGTTTTTGATGGGGGGAAAAAAACCAGAAGGAAGGGATTTTTCAAAAAAAAAATAAATTTGTCTTTTCAAACCCTGATAGTGTCAGTACATAGATGTTAGGATTTATTTTTATATTTAAAAGTTGAATAAAAA